TGGAAAGATAGAGGAGAAGTGATGTGGTGTAACCACACCCCGCAGGGGGATGCTCTCTCTCTGTCTAGCTTCTTGTCCCTCTCTGGTGAAGGCACATGCCCTCTGGCAATTGAACAAAGAAGGAAAGAGTAAATCTGAGGGATAAAGTGACAGTGAGACGCCTGAACTCATAATGCCTGTGGCAATGGAGGGCCAGATCGATCAAGTTGAAAATTTGCTAGAGATCTGGGTTCTCTGGTTTATCCTCCAGCTAAAGGCCTTATACACAAATGACGAGGGGTAGAAAAGAGTTTTCTGGTACTCTTCAACAAGCTGTCCCAAAATCTGTTGGCGAAGTCCTAATAGGGGTCACAGTCAGATTGGGAGGGTATGAACACACAATGGTTCAGGGATGAGAAGTGAAATATCTAAAGGGATTTTATGTGTCTTGTTTACCTGAATGTATTATTGGGGTGGCTATTAATCTGGCTAGGAAACACTGCCCCTATCTAGTAATGTCAAACGGAAAGCACCTAAGTTTGCCCTCATGCTAGTCCCGATTGGACATGCTAAATGGAAATCACTAGGGCTTTTTGAGCCCCGACAAGGTATTAGTTTGTAATGGTATAGGATATCTGGAGCACCAAAAACAGGAAACAACTTGTTAGAAACTGAAGTTCTGGTATTGATAAATTCTTTGTATAATAGTCCAATGTAACTTGTGAAAAAAGCAGATGGCAACTGTAAACTAACTGGAATACTGAGGTTTGAAAAGAATAGTGTCATACATAGCATCAGTGGTTCTTTTTTTTTTTTTTTTTTTGAGAGGTTTTTGCTATAGGGTGCATGCGCTCACCAGACAGAGAGAGACATAGAGACAGAAAGCGAGAAATCACCCCCCAGGGGGGATGGTCACGCCGCAACCCCTTCTCCTCCATTCTCCTCTCGGGATCTTGGGCACGCACGCACACGCGCCTGGCATGAGTTTTAAGCCACCAGGTCCGGGACGCGAACTGCGGTCGACTACGTGGGAGTCCAGTGACATAGCCATTAAGCTAACTGCTGGTTCCCAGTGGTTCTTGATATAATTTCAACAGTACAAACAGAACAGGAAGTTAAATGAGACCAATATTTAGTGATTGGTCTTTTTAGAATTCTTTTTTTGTTTGTTTTTTTTTAGAATTCTTTTTTTCTTTGGAGAGGTTTTTGCTATGGGGTGCATGTGCTCGGCAGACAGATAGAGAGAGACAGAGAGACAGAAAGTGAGAAATCAGCCCCCGGGGGGATGGCCACACCGCAATCCCTTCTCCTCCATTCTCCTCTCAGGATCATGGGCATGCACGCACACGCGCCCGGCGTGAGTTTAAGCCACCGGGTTTGGGACTCAAACCACGGTCGACTACGTGGGAGTCCAGCGACATAGCCATTACGCTAACTGCTGGTCCCAGTGATTGGTCTTGCCAACGGTTTCTTTCAATCTTGATCTTGGAAAACCGTCAATTGTAGTTTGTCTTGATGTGGGAATGATTCCAGTTGATATATACTGTATTGCTATAGGGTTGGTTATTTGACTTCACTATTCAGTGTCATAATTTGATTAAAAGGAATTTAGATTGATACAGAGTGTAATAGTACACTATATAGATAGATGTCTAGATAATATCTGAACCTGAAGAGCAAGTGAAGACTGACTTACTGCAGTGGTGTCCCACATAACCAACAGAGGCTGGTTGATAAATGTAGCAAAGGTCCAAGGGCCTGCCCAAATGGTGAAATTCTTAGGTAGAACTTGGACAGGAGCTACCCATGACATTCTATAGGTGACTAAATATAAACTGATATCATTATCTACCCCTTGTGCTAACAAGGATGCCCAATTTTTTATGTAGAGATTTTTGCTATAGGGTGCATGTGCTAGCCAGAAAGATAGAGAGACAGAAAGCGAGAAATCACCCCCCAGGGGGGGTGGTCACACCGCAATCCCTTCTCCTCCATTCTTCTCTTGGAATTTTGGGCATGCATACACATGTGCCCAGTGTGAGTTTTAAGCTGCTGGGTCTAGGATTCACATTGTGGTTGACTATGTGGGAGTCTGGCAATGTAACCATTATGCCATCTGCTGGTCCCCCAATGTTTTATTAATCTGTTCTGGTTTTAGAGGATACACATTCCACATGTATTGCTAGCTGCTGCCCATAATATGCCCAAGAGATCATCATATTTGATTAGGGACCAAACAAACACAGGCCATATAGGAATTGCAAAAAGTAGTTTCTGGACCCAGTCATAGTGATGCAAGTTTCAGAGTGACATAGTATAAGGCTGTGGCCACAGGGAGGCCAAGGTTGGTTCCTAGACCAACCTAAACATGCTGAGTGTGGTGGCAGCACATGTCTGTAATCCGAATGAACTAAGAGGCTAGAACAGGGGGAGCACAGCATGGCAAGACCCTACCAAAAACATCTTTCTCTCTCCCTCTCTGTCCCTCTTTCTCTACCTTCTCCTTTCTTTTGCTCTCATAAAAGAAAAGGAGTAGTGGGACCTGCAGTTGGTGTAATGGCTATGTTGCCAGACTCCTGTGTAGTCAACTGCAGTTAGAGTCCCGACCCGATGGCTTAAACTCACACCAGGCATGTGTGTGTGTGTACCCAAAATCCTGAGAGGAGAATGGAGGAGAAGGGATTGTGGTGTGGCCATCTTCCCTGGGGGAAGGGAGTAATTTCTTGCTTTCTGTCTCTCTGTCTCTCTCTGTCTTTCTGGATAGTGCATGCACCCTATAGAAAAATCTATTAAAAAAAAAAAGAGAGAGAGAGAGAGAAAGAAAATGAGTAGTTTTTTCTTTTTTCTTTCTTTTTTTTTTTTGTCCTATGATCCATCTTCATAAACAATTTTTGGACATGCTTATACCATACTCTTATGCTGACTAGAGGTTATGCAAAAGCCTATAAGTACCACCCATTGGTCACTGCTGAGATTTTGTATCAGAACATTCCTGGAATGTGTAATATCACATATACTCTGTGAGAAACAACTACTAGTTTGCTATTGAGCATTGATGGAGAATGTCCCATGACTAAAAGACATGATCTGTTCCCCAAAACGGAAATATGCATAGTATTTTGAGTTTTAGCCTTTGAGTTGCCTCAGTAAGACCTTTACTTTTTTAGCCTTTTATTTATAAATGTAAGTTGAAAAGTTTTATCCCTATCTTAATTTGGATTGTCCCAAAAGCAGACCCTAAGACCAAACTTTAGGTGGAAATAGTATCCTTGGGAGGTGAACCAGGGAGGATCAAAAAAGAAGTAGGGAATTAAGGAAGACAAGAAAGCCAATTTGGGAGGATGGGTTAATGCAATCTGTTGCTAATAATAGAAATAGCCGAGTGTGAGTAACTTAGAGAACTGAGGTTTAGTTAGTTCAACCTTTTTCTTTTCTTTATTTTTTTTTTTGGACAGGTTTTTGCTATAGGGCGCTTGCGCTCGCCAGACAGACAGAGAGAGACAGAGAGACAGAAAGCAGGAAATCACCCCCCCAGGGGGATGGCCACGCTGCAATCCCTTCTCCTCCATTCTCCTCTTGGGATCTTGGGCACCGAGTCTTCTCCTCTCGAGTTTAAGCCACCGGGTCCGGGACGCGAACCGCGGTCGACCACATGGGAGTCCAGCAACATAGCCATTACGCCAACTGCTGGTCCTGTTAGCTCAACCTTTTTGAGGTCCAAGTTCTGAGGCCATATATACTGAGAGTCTTCTGGGGTTCTCTGTGGAGTCCTGAGGCGGTGCAGTTTCATATGAAGAGATTGTGTCAGTGTTGTTGTGTCTCTGCCCTGGTCTCAGTCCCTCTCCTTATCAGCCAATTAGCCTTCGGCTGGGAGGGACAAATCTGATCACCTGAGCTGCTCCTAATCCCTTCTTGAAGGCTCCATTGCTTAATCTCATAGTCAGTTTAAGGTACCTCTCAATTCCGTCACAATGCAACCAGACTACAACACATAAACTTTTGGGGACACATTCAAAACAAGCAGTGGGTTTAAGAGCAGGTGATGCACAGTAATTAAATGGTAAAAAATAAGGAGAAAAAAGCAGGTGATCACAATGGACAGGTGTTCACTTCTGGGCACTCAGAGTGTGCAGAGCACATGCTAGCATCAGCTCACTGAGGAGCAAGCAGCTGGGTTATTCATGCCTTATTGCTGTGGCTACTGTGTGGGCTGAACTCTCTCGGTTACTGTGGCTGGAGAAAGCCTTCAGGGTGGGAGACACAGGGACTTGAGGTAGAAAGTGTAGAAAATGTGGAAACTGTCCACTAAAGATGCTTGTGTCTCCAGTGTGGGCCAAGGGGATGTGGGTGGGCACTTATAGGGTCTGCCACTGCCCTGACTTTCCGGTTGCCTGGGGTCTACATTTGTCATGTGAGATGCTAGTCCCAGCTCTGACACATGTGCTGGTAAGGTAGTAGTGGGGATGCACACAGACCAGATCTAGTCTTCTAGAACCTGGGTCCAGGAGGAGAATGAAACCCCAAGGGCAGGCCTTTACCTTGGACACAGGTTTCGTGCTGATCCCTCGCTGTGGTGCAAAAAGACCGAGGTTCAGTTCCTGCTCAAACTAGCTGTGTGTCCTCAGAACAATTCCCTATAATAATTGTCTCAGCTTCTTTAGCTGTAGAACTGGAGATTAAAACCTCAGGACCATGGAGATGTTTAGGGGAGAATTCATATGACAACTTTTTATCGTTTGCTCTAAAAGCCAGTTTTCTTTCCCTCCTTGCAGTTCTTCCTGCCTAAGCTTAGCTCTTGCCTTTTCTCCAAGTCTCCCAAGCACACATCTTGTTTTATAGCAAAGCTAACATTGTTTTAACAGATATTAACAATAGTTCCATACCACAAGCCTTCTTTTCTACTGTCTTTTATTAGCTCTGGCAGTGCAGTTTGAATCCAAGTGTGTATCTGGGGCAGGCACTCATTGTTAATATAGTCTTGCAGCATGGTAGCCCAAGCCCAAGTTCTGAGCTCCTGCCATTCAGAGGTGGGGGGAGAAGCCAGCCACCGCGATGTTCTCGCCACTGATGTAGCTCGCATCTGGTGAGCACAGGAAGGACACGAGTCCCACGCAGTCCTCAGGTTGCCCAAGCCTGCATGGAAAGAGGAGGCGGGGATGAGACTGATGACACCTTCCCATGGGCCCAGGGCTCCTGAGGGATGATGTAAAATCAAGACCCTGTGGGAATGAGCACAGGACTGCAGATGAAGACATGTGACCTCTTCGGGGACCTGTAGAGCAGATCATCAGACCTCCAGGATGGTGAATGGGTAACAGCTGCAGAGGGATGGTGTGTGATTTCTTATCCATCATGGTTGTTCTGAGGTCTTGTTAATTCAGATCTGCAAGGGGCACTTTCCGTCCACAACCTACCTCTGTACTTGGTAGAGTTTCTTTACTTGGTCCCGAAAAACAGGGTCCTGAAAGATCTAAAAGGAAGGTCAGAGGTTAGTGCCGCTCATACAGATGAAGTCACGTGGACTCCACATCATGCAGAACTGTGTCTCTGTGGAGAGCCTTCTGGGGACACTATGGGTTGGCCCCCGACAGAGGACTGACTCTGAATCTGCTGCTGATTCTGAGAGCTGTGGGTCAGAGCATCAGAGCAGGAGTGTACAGGTCCATGTCTGAAAATCCGGGTATAGTGGGGTGTGGCAGGAAGGGGAGGGCACCCTAGTGCTCAGTGGGGTTGGAGCAGGAGCTGCCCATGGTCCTCACCACTTGGCCAAATTCTGTGTCAATGATTCCTGGTATCAGGCAGTTCACCTGGATGTTCTTTGGTGCCAGCTCCAATGCCAGGGTCTTGGTGAGACCCAGCAGGGCTGTTTTGCTGACATTGTATGCCCCCAGCTTCTGAGGGCAGAAAGAAAAATAGATTAATAGACTAGTTGGGGACATAAGAGAATTACTTGGATGTCCTAGAGATTCCCTCCCAATAACAGCTCTAGATCATGAAAGATAATGTTCAAAAGATGGAAAGAGGATCCCACTTAGTGCATTTATGTAAAAGGCAAGATCCGTGACACCCAGTGGTCAGTTTTGCACATAAGTAGTCCTGAGCGAACAATTGTCAAACCTTGGATATTTCCAGGCACCCAGTTTTCCAAGGCGAAATGCGAGAAGTTCTTTCTACTTAACCTGGATCCACAGATGGTCATACTTACAACAACTGGAAGATAAGCTGCAACTGAGGAGACCAGGATCACTGAGCCTCGCCTGGGAAGATACAGATGGGTGAAGACATTGTGTGTAACTGAGAAAGGAGGCTAAGTGGAAGAAGGGAGGACGACTCTATGACTGAGAGAGAATAGCCAGGACCCGCTGGAGATATTTATGTCCAATTTTTAGGTCTTCAGTTGTATTAGTCAAGTTATAACTGTCTGTGTTTGGATTTTGTTTTTGTAGGAAAAAATCTGAGTATGGAGCACATATAGTTAATGGTTATAGGACTGGTTAGGGTTTCTATATCTTTGAGTAATTTTTGGTAACATATAATTTTTACATATTTGTGCATTTGGGGGCCAGCTGGTGGTTAAGGCACTGGACTCCCACATGTCTGATTGTAGTTTGAGTCCTGGGCCTAGAGGCTCGAAAATCACACTGGGCACGTGTGCATGCATGCTTGCCCAAAGTCCCAGGAGGAGAATGGAGGAGAAGGAATTGTGGCATGTCCATCCCTCCAGGAAGTGATTTCTCATTTACCCTCTCTCTGTCCCTTTCTAACAAGTGCGCATGTCCTATGGCAAAAATCTAAAAAAAAAATAATAATAAAAAATTATGCATTTCATTGCAACTTTCACAGTTGCAATAAAGATTTCTCTTTGGCATTATCACTCTCTTACTGCCTTTTTAGTATTTACTGAATTTCTGGTGATACCTTTTCTTTTTACTCCGATATTGGTTATTTGTGCCTTCCCAATATTTTTCCTGATCAGTCTCACCATAATTTTGTCCAAAGCATTAGTTTAAAAAAAAAAAAAGATTTTTTTTCTTTTTTTATTGTTTGATCCTTATACAGTCACGTGTCACATAATGATGTTTCAGTGAATGATGGACCGCATATACAATGGTGATTCCTTAAGGATCAGATGGGTTCTACCATATAGAATAGGCATGTAATAAGCCATACCATCTCAGTTTCTTTTCCTCTTTTTTCTTTTTTTCTTTTTCTAGTTTACTATAGGGTGAATGTGCTCCTGAGAGAGGCAGAGAGAAAGTGAGAAGGTACCCCTCCCCAGGAGGGATGGCTACGCCATAGTTCCTTCTCCTCCATTCTCTCTGAAGATTTCAGGCATGACACACACTTGTCCAGCGTGGTTTTCAAGCCACCAGCTATAGTACTTGAATGGTGCTGTCAGCCATATAAGATCCAGCCACACACCACGCGTGCCTTCTGCTGGCCTCCATCTCAGCTTCTCTGATAACATATTTTTCAGAACATATAACTAAGCAATGCGTGATTATTCTTTATTTGGTTATTTAAAAATATACAAAAATGGCATTTTGGAAATATGGTTCATTCTAATACCTCACTGTGTCTGCATTAGTGTTGGTAGGGGCCTTAGAAGTCATTACTAGTTAGAAGTCCTGGTTTAATTTCACATATGACTACACAGGTCTAGAGTAAGGGTTCCCAAACCCTGGGCTGTGGACCGGTGGGGGTCAGTGGCCTTTTTGGGGCAGGCTGTGGACCTGTGCTGGTCTGCCAGGCTGCTCAGCGAGAGCAGAGAGGTGGGGATGGGGGCAGCTGCAGGGGAGTGAGCAAGGCTTCATCTGTGTTTGCAATACTCTGCATTGCTTGCATTGCTGCCTGGACTCTGCCTTGTGTTGGATCAGAGGTGGCACCTGATTCTCATGGGAGCTGACCCTGAATTGTTGAGTGATTGTTTCATTATATATTGTGTGGTAATGGTGGAAATAGAGTGCAAAGTGGATGCAGTGTGCTTGAGTCACTCTGGAACCAACCCCTCTCCCCCACTCTGTGGAGGAATTGTCTTCCACTAGGCTGGTTCCTGGTGCCAGGATGGTTGGGGACTTCCGGTATACTCAGCTCAGCTGATACTAAATGCCCAGTATGTGTTTGTCAAATCCAGTGGCTGCTCCAGACTGCCAACAAGGAAGAAACTGAAGGGAATCAGTCCGATTGGAAGAGGGGCTTTAAAGCTACATCTGAAAAGCATTTTACTGATATTAAGAAAAACCTCACTGGCCATTTTAAGAATGAGTGAGGGCGATGCTGGTGGAGATAACCGGTTGGCTCTGACCTTCAGTGGAGGCATGACTAAACAGGGGGAAAGCCCTGAAGGGCTTGCATATGTCCAGAGGGATCAATTTTGGAAGAGGAATGAGATGGCCCAAGTTGGAAGACTGGACTTGGGATAGTTGTAGCATCTTCAGGAGAAATTGTGTTCCTGCTGGCCAGATAATGGAAAGCTCCTAATGACTGGGCCTGAAATCCAGTGGGTGAAAAGGAACTCCTTAAAGTACAGCTGGATTTTTCCTGCTTCAGGACAAATGCTGGCTTCCTGGAGAACATCTGGGAACATCCCAAGTCACTGAGACCTATAGGAAATCTGAGCAGCATGAGGCAGATCCTGGCCCATCCCACAGCTGAGGATGAAGCTGGTCAGGCTGGTATCTACTGCAGGCTGTGGGGAGAGGCAGGGAAGCAGGCATTCTAGTTGGGAACTGATTGTCAGGGGCTGGGGAAGACAAGGGAGAACAGGGCCAGTGTAAGAGTTAGGAAGTGAGAGGGACTGAGAGCCATTTTTGCTCTTATTCATGTGGGCTGCAGGGTGTCTGAGGGTCATCACTCTGAACTCTTATGGTCTGATCTCTAGCAGCCCAAGACAGACTGCTCCCAGTTCTCTGATTCCAGGACAGGAGCAGGAATCTCTAGGCCCTTCTGTCTGTGGGTTCCTCATCCTCCTTCCAGAATAGTTTTTGCCAGACTCCCTGGACACTCTAGATTCAAAAGAATGACACTAATGGATAGAATTCTTTTTTTTTTTTTTTTTTTTTTTTACTGCCCCCAAAGTCTGGGGGG